TCCCAGCTGACAATGGGTGAGAGGCAGGGTACACCCTGGAGAGACTATCACAGGACTTACAAATAAGACCTTTTTACACAGAGATCACGCTATAAGGCCGCTACGAAGTCCCATCTTCATGCCAGCTTTGCGTTTTTACACAGAACCAAATGATGGTAGCACAATTCTGCTCCAATGTGTGATTTTACATAGCACGCCATTATCATGTAATCAAAAGAGGCGTGACAAGCAGGACATGTAACAAAACAGCGATGGCCTCTAGTGTGACATACAACATATGCATCGGCAGTGTTTTACAAACAATAACAATGGCATAACATGTCACTAACAATTATTTACCATCTCTGTTACATAGCATCTGAGATCATTCTTTGCTCGGAGGGTAAGGAACTCCAAGACCAAATTGTTTTCCCAATTTGCGAATATTTTCAGATGCTGTTCTTCTTCTTTGAGTTAGCTGCTAACTACTACTTTTTAAATCTTCTGCAAAACGGCTAACACATAACATGTAGTCACACATGCCTCCCGTGATTCCATCCTGCTGGCTGTCCCGTTTATACAGACATCATTCTGGCGCCGTTGCTACCTCCGCTCCCGGCTCACAGGCATAACAATTCTGTCCCCCCATTCCACGACTGTACCCTCCATACAGAATAACGAGGCGGAATAACAGCACGATATTCCCGCCTTGAACAGGCAGTGTAAAAGGGGCTATAGAGAAAACCATTAGCACTCACATTCACACCTACGGACAATTTAGAGTCACCAATTAACCTGCATGTCTTTGGACTGTGGGAGGAAGCAAGAGTATCCAGAGAAAACCCACGCTGACACAAGGAGAACACGCAAACTCCATACATAAAGGTCTCAAGCCTGGATTTGAACACACAACCTTGTTGCTGTGAGGTAACAGCACTGCATCACCCCAGGTCTACAGCCATGTACATTAAAACTCTTAATATCAGTAACAGTCGGCTACAACAAAGTGTGACAGTATCACACCCTCGATACGACAGGAGCTAGAACTAAGGAGAATTTAAGTTGTCACACCTCTTCAAAAATATAAGTAATAACAAACTACTATCTACTGGGGTGATGAAAACCAGCCGGCAGCAGTACAAAATTATTATGTAAAATGATTCATTTAAAAGTTTACTTAGACTGCACCAGATTTTTCATAAGCAAACAACATAATTTGAACAGGGTGTCGGCTGTACAAATTATGCCAGCAGCTATCAGACAGGTAAATTTAATGCTTTTTAAGACCATTCAAGACCCCTTTGAACTAAATTTACTACAGATTGTTGGACAATTTATGTTTTACTTATTTAAGCACCGCAGGCAGGTAGTATATATGTGGTCTTATGCAGAGGTAAATGTTATGTAGGAATATGAGTATCGGAGTGAGTTCAGTTGCCAACAGGTTAGTGCAAGTATGAAGTAAAATGAAAGTTTTATAGTTATTTAAAGATTTGTAACATTAGAAAAATTAAATTAAAAAAATGGATAAATGAAATTAGATAAATGTCTGTAATAGTTAAGACCTCACAAATTTGAAAATAAGACCATTTAATGACTTTTAAAGCCTTATTGTTGTAACATTGAATTTACATTGACATTTTAAGACTTTTTAAGGACCTGTAGACACCCTGTGGTGAATTTAAGTAATGAAGCAAGATTCAATACAAACAAGACATACACCCATTTTACCCTCATTATTTTCATTGTAGGTTATTTTGTATTATCTTGTCTGGTTGCTCTGTAATCTGCTATTGTCTGTGTGTAAATCCAAAGAATAGACCGGGATTATATTTGCATATCACATATCAGTTTTTTTTACTCTCAAATATCGACCCCTGTATCGGTCATATTTGTGTGCTCTCAACTGTCCATGATGACACAAGCAAAGGTTAGTAGTGGGGTTGAGACAACTTCCTCTACACACACACACACACACACACACACACACACACACGCTCATATTAGGTGACAGCACACACACACACACACACACACACACACACACAGACAGCTATAACCTCATACAACCCGCCCCCCGCTCATACACACAAACACACACACACCAGACTCGTCTCGTCTGAGCCGGCGAGGTCTTCATATGCGTTGCACAGACGGGGGTTTGGGGCGGGCGAGTGGGCGGCTGGGAGCGAGAGGCAGCCCTGGTTTACAGGTCAAGCCTGCAGCTTTACAAGGGAAATCTCCAGAGCCACTATAAATACCACTGTGAGCTTTAAGGGTGCAGTATATCACACCACTGGGTTTGAAGGACCACAAACCGACCTAGTTTTTGTAGTTTTTTTTGCAGTCCCCCTTTTTTCCCAACTGTACAGTCGCATGAGCCTGAATACAATTAAATGTGAATTTATCCCTCCTCCATTTCAAGTGACTGTTAATTGATTGGCCCGACTTCAAAACACGCCCCACCGCTGCAACAAAGAGCTGCCCGTTCACCTCACGCGTCAGGCCCATATATCATTAAAGTACCTTAAAAGTTTGGGGGTGGTTTCATTTTCTTTCCCTTTGCTGTAGTTCTGAGCAAACGGCACAAATATGTCAGGAACCAATTCTAGTAAATTGTGAGGATTTTCAATGAGCCCCACCTGCGAGTACGACATTTATTCATTTCAAACTGATGTACTGCGACTTGAAATGAGGCCTAATGATTCGCTTAAGGAAACGGCTGCATAAAACTTACAGTGCTGTCAAAGTGACACAGCCGTGCAGCATGTGCAGCATAAATCAGGACAGGTTTTTACTCTGGAGCTGATTGGAGGTGCACGGCTTTAAAAAATTATAATTCATTCACTTTTATTCGGCTTTATGGTGAAAAAAAAAAAGAAAATGTGGGAAAGCCTCGAGTTGTCTTTCGAACACCTGAGCAGCACAGATGTGGAGTCAGAGGACAATAAAAGCAGCGATTCAGCGCTCACGTGCAAATCTCATCAGCCAGCTCTAGTTAGCGGCAGACGGCACTAATTGGTTCCAGAAATGTTGCTCTCTCTCGTTCGCACTGGTTGAAATGGCAAGCAGCGAGGGCGGGCAGAAAGAGGGAGAAAGAAAAAAATAAAAGGGAGTGGGGGCAAGTAATGAGAGGTCAGCCGCCATCTACAGTTGGGCTGCCAGAGCCAGAGAGGCTCGCCAATTTTATGGTCAATTGGGCGACGCATCTGGACTCATAGATCACAGGGCTGCGGGGCTGGACTTAGCACCCAGCTCACACACATTTCACACAAAACAGACCACACAACACACACAATCACAGGCTACACACACCAGGGAAACATGATGCTGTCATATGAAGCGCTTCATGTACACGTTACCTACTGGCATCACATTATTATCACCATACACATTCATCGTTCTATATTCCCTCATGTTTCCAGCGCTTTTCACAGTCACTGAGATGTGGAATGTTTTTTTCAGTACGTCTAAATGCATTGGACACTCATGAGCTACCAGCAGGCTAATTAGGTCTTGTCATGTGTTGACTTTGTGTCTCTTGTGTTTAAACGGTTATAAAATGCGAAGACAGTTTCAGTTTTTTTCATGCTGTATTTTAGACACAAATTGCTTCTCTGGTTCACACTCAACAATACTTTAATGGAGAGTGGCAGGGTGGAGGCCCGAACTCAGATGAACCCAAATGAACAAACTATTTCCACAATATGTCATTATGTGACACATTACAGTGAACAATTAGATTAAATAGTTTGGGAACTCTTTTGAACAGGCTTTCAACAATCCCAAATGAAGATGCTGTGATGTGATCGACAGCTCCAGAACAGCTACTTAAAGCTGGGGCAGGCCGTTTGATTTCGGCGAACTGGGCAAAAATCTCATGATAAACTTTAAGCATACTGTAATTCAAGTGGACTGAGAGAAAACTAGACTTCTGCACCTCCTCTTGGCTCTGTTTTCAGGCTTTAAAAAAATCTAGGCAGTGACAGGAGACTTTGGCCAATCACAGGTCATTTTAGAGAGAGACGGCAACCCTATTGGCTGTCTAACAAATGCAGATGTGCATGCACGTTTCCTCACTGAAGACACAGACAGACAGACTAATCACAACGAGAGCATAAAAAAAAAGAGGCTGATAATAAACAAAATAAAACACATTGTCAGTGACAAGGAAGTGTGTCAGAGATGGAGAGAAGTTGTTGCTAATAGTTTAGCCTTCTGCTAACCGGAGCCAAAGGCTTACAGCTGCCACTCCAAGTTCACATTTACGTAGCTAACGTTAGCTAGAGCCTTGAATCACAGTGTGTCCACCGCCTTACTGCCCACCTCTACAGACCACCTAATGGGGAGGAGAGCAGGCAGCAGCTCCAGTGACAGACCCCCAGTCAGCGGCCTCAGCAACCTAAATCCAGCCAGTGCAAACCCAAGCTCTGAGAGAACTTTCTGTTGCTGCTGTAACACAGGTTAGACCCAGCACTATCGCTGGCCACCAGCCTGCTGTGACACCCAACGCTGGGGGATTTACGCTGGCTGAATTCATGCCACTACAGCCCCCAACTGAAGGTCAGTTACCTGAGCTGCCTTCCACTCTCCTCAGGAGAAAATGGTCCACAGAAAGGAGGTGAAGGGACAGCGGGATTGGCTAATGTTAGCTGGCAATTTCTTGTCTCATTTGTGGGCTGATAAACAGCGAGAGAAAGAGCGGGGCTGAGTCAATGCGCTACTTGCTACTCTACAATGGAATAAGATGAAATAAATCAATGTATGGGAAACACGGAGTTACTGTATGAAGTGCATGCATATACCTGTGCTCATCTGGTGGGCGGGGCTTACGAAAGGACGGTGTATCATTCAGATTCAGATTTTTTTGCCTGTGCCAGATTTCTGCCGACCCCGGTTTATATGTCCCCTGAAGTTTGTGAATGTGAAGTCTATTGGTCCACTTGTCAGTGGACGAACTACACCACCATCAGGACACTGTCACTTTAAACAGCACTGTAACACACTACAGGTCATCTTACTTCTGTGGGCACAGCCAGCGAGGGCAGCAGGGGCTTCATGTAGCCATACCTCTGCATTGTCACCATGACAACACAGCGTAGCATCTCCAGGACAGCTGCTGTTGGCCTGCAAATAAGGACACATCAACCAACATCATAATAAAGCTGGGATTTTTTTTTTCTCAGTGCATTGCAGAGCTATTTAATTGTAATGCATAAGCTTTAGCCCAAAGTGAATTGATTTTAATAACTTTGAAGTACTTGAAGTGTGCACTGTGCAGCTGTATTATGTGGGAAAACAGAACTATTGGATCAGGACTCTGTATCAGCAGAAAGTCAGTAATAAATAACTTAGATTGGGGTCGAACAAACTTTATCGGGACATCCCCACCTGAGACCCCTTGGAGAGTTTCAGAGCTTGGGAACCACTGACATAAATTACCAGAGTGCTCTCTCCTGCTGTTTAGTCTGTCTGATTTAATATCCAAACGCTTGCATAAGAATGAACACATGAACAAATGTCAGTATGTTACCTGTGATCAATGATGTAGCCCAGAGACGTGAGAGTGAGCAGAACATAGCCGGTCATCCCCAGCATGGTTAACTGGGACAGCGTCTAGGAATCACAGATATGTTTGCGTGCCATGAGAAATGTGGTCGGGAAAAAATACATTAGAATCAAACCTTAAATTAATATCATGGCTGGTTGAGTTACAATCACAGGAGACCTTACTGGGGGAGCAGTCATAAACCGCACGACTGTTCTGCTGTTTACTTGGCAGTGCCAACCAAAACATGTCTGACCTTCACAGTAAGTGTACTGGCACATACAGTATCCTGCAGCAAATGTAATCTGCCTCTTACTTTACACTGACATGCCTAGTTTACAGAGACACTCTAATCACCCCAGATGGGTCTTGACGGAGGGACTTGACCACAGTGGAAGAGACTGCAGTTTGAATCCCGATAGCCCCTAAACGGAGCCAAAACAACCAACAACGGAGCAGAAATCCCATGCAGATTCTCACTGACCTTTTAAGAGCTATTTGGGACGTGCACACACAAAACAGACTCGTACAGAACGTGATGTACGGCCTAATTCATGTTCTCTAACCTACGGCCTTGGCTGAGGGCAGCAGCTGGAGGCCCGGTGTCTCCTGAGGATGCTGTGGGCTGTCAGCTTCGGTTTATATTTCTCCGACACTCAATACAGAGCCTAACAGCCAAATCTCACCGACCGCTCCCATACTGTACCGACCCAGAAGGCCATATATAGTAAACATAAAATCAACCCATCAACAGGATGCAATAAAACCGTATGTCTTTATGTTTATCCAAGACTCGTAATCCATAAACCCCTTAAGAACTATATCATCCGAGCCGTCACGTGGGAGCACAGAGAGATGATATGATTATGTTTTCCGTGAATCAAATTGGGGAATTCTGGCCTGGATCCATCTATCAGAGTGATGGAACAAAACTGTCAAAGCAAATTAAAGTTGAATGATCACTGCTGGAGAGTTCAGAGGCTACAGACACAGTTATTTTTGGTAAGAGGTGTCATGAGCGGAGAATTATTTTGGTATCAAAGGTTATGTGAACTTATCTGTGTTCAATAACCTCGGGGCCACAGCAGACCAGACGCACGCACATGATCCTTTTTTTTTTTTTTTTTTTGGTTTGTTCTGACTATCAGAGACGCTCGAGAGAAAATCCACCACAAATCTCTCCGAGTCCTCAGGTGGAGTCACATTTACAGAACGTGTTTTTTTTTTTATAAAAGAGGAAATGTTCTGTGCTTCTTTCATCGAGCTAATTTTGAACGTGATCAAGTGTCAAGCTGCAGCAATTACAGCAGAGGACAGAAATGAAAGTTAACATCTGGTGGCAGCGCACTGATTGTGTTATTCTGTTGTCCCCCGAGACGGAGCAGATTAACTCATTATTCAGGACGTTATTATGAAGCTCATGAGGGCTCGTTGGACACAGTCACCACTGAGGAAACACACCAGCAGTGGAATGTTACCACAGTAAGTAACAGACATAATACACATCTCCCTCTGTCCATTATTTCTAATATTCTAGAATTCAAATGCATGAATATAAATCTTCATTAAAGGGGAGTTCAGTTACAGAGAAAGATTAGGCTTTATTTCAGATTACTTCATGATCCAATCACATATCATATATATATTTCTTTTTTTGCTGCTTCTCTCTGCCAGTGATGTAAATGTTCAGTGGTGGAGGAAGTACTCAATTTTTTTAATTGAGTAAAAGTAGCAATACCACAACATAGGAATACTTTGTTTACTAAATGTAAAAGTCCTTCAAAATTGTACTTGAGTAAAAAGTTCAAAGTACTTTCATTAAAAAATACTCAAAAGTACCAAACGTTATGGTGCTAATTATGCATGATGGCTGGTTTCTGAAAAATATATATTATATTACTGGATTCGAATTACTGATGCATTAAAGGGACAGTTCAGATCTTTTGCAGCAAAACCTATTTTCTTTCGAAATGTATATCAGTTTGAAGCCCCATTCGCAAGGGACCAGTCTCACCAGGGGACCTAATGCAGTTTAGACATTACGCCCCCTATGTCTGTGTTTCGTGTGGCGCATTTGCACAGGATAATCAAAGTCCATATTTTGTTCAGATTTACTGGCATTATCCCTCAGACGTGATGTGCACAGTTACTTATAATTTTATTCTACAAAACACAGAAACACGACACAGCACCACTAGCGGTGACGTATGGTGTGGACCTATTTTTTTCCCTTTTAAACGTGGGTTTAAAAAATAGAAACAATTCTGCCACACATTATTACACGTCATTTATCTCATCATGTTTCAAGATCTCGCTCCTCAGATTGCAAATGGGGCTCCATGCTGTGTAGCGCGATAAGCCTCTCTCTCTAGACCGGCAAAGATGCAGAAAGGAGGCACGGAGAAAAAAAAAAAAAAATCTAAATATGACCATAAATACATAAATCACAAAGATTCCTATTTGGCACGGGACTAAATTTATCACACAACCTCTGTGTTTGGCAAAACATGTTAGGTAGGAATCTATACTTATACAATTATTACAAATTGTTCGAGGTCACCAGGTAATACTAGTCCTGTGAGACTGGGGCTTAAATGTACATTATATTTAGAATATTTTCACCACTTTACCTTACTGCGAGACTACGATTTCTGATGGGGATCCCATACTACCCCACTCCAAATCACTTAGACGTTGTTCTAACCTATAATTATACATCGTAATGTATGTATTGATGATAATTTGAATTAACTATAGTTATCAAATAAAGGCAGTACATTAAAAAGTACGATGTTCCCGCACGATGTTCCCTCTGAAGTATCGCAGAGTAAATGTAGTACAATGCTTATATAAATGTACTCAGTTACTTTCCACCACTTTAATTGATGAGCTGCTAATTAAATGCTTCTAGGACAATATAAATAGCTCTTATTACATCCTGATTGCTGATAAATTAGGCAATCTAAATTGCTATGTTGTGTCAGATGTTCGGTCTTATTGTTGCTCTGTGCTGAAGTCCATATGTTTCATCATAAACACACTAATGGAGACTTGTTCCGAGATAAGACTTCACCACTTGGTCAGTTCCCCTCTCTGCCTCTAATAGTAACTGCTGTAACAAACCTATAATCAAACATACACGCCGGCCTGCTGATGATGTAATTGAAGAGTAGCTTCACTTCATGTTTTCATGACTCTGAATTAACGCAAAGCCCATAAATTGTCCGGCAGTGTATCATCAATTGTCAAGCCAAATAAGCGCCTAGTGAACATGTGGGTATAAATACATAACAGTGACATGATTTATCGTCAGGCCAGAGAGCTCACTTTGTTATTTTCCCCTCCAAGTCCTGATTGCTGCATCCTGAAGGCTATTTGGGTTGGGAAATGGTTGACTCGACAATTAAGGCGTTTGTGTTCACTGCTGGACCACCAGCTGGTGTTTCATTCGCAGAGAGGGAGGGGAACCCTCGACCCAGGAGGGGAGGTGTGTGTGTGTGTGTGTGTGTGAGAAAGCGGGGGACCACAACTGAAGGAGCACCACGGAGGTAGCGATCAGAAAAAGACAGGCCATTTTATTTGGGAGTTTGAAGGGGCTGGGCGTGACAGCACTTTTTGGCTAACCAAAACTATGCCTGGGGAAAAAAGGCTTCCAAAGATAACTGCTGAGGAGACCTGTTTCTCTTTTTTCTGACGGAGGAGGAAGGGGGTCTTTTGGCTCGTCGAGTGGAAAATAATAGACAAAGGTTGTTCTAAAGGGGAATGCCGATCAGTCATTCTGTCATGATGTTAGACAGAGCTAGTCTTTTCCTGCTGGCTAAGTAGAGGACTCTGCTCCACCGTGGAGCAGCCACAACAAACTGCATAATTGGGTGAAATAATGTTGGCAAACAAACAGGCAGCGCTCAGCCTTAAATTAAGAGCTTTGGACCACCTTGTCATACTTTATATGAGGGATTACAGTAGTCTAAACATAACATCAGCCAGTGTGTGACCAGAAAGTCAACAGCTTCATCCACACAGGAATGTAAAATGCTCTTCCCTCCTTCAGAAGGACTGTCAGTGAGCTTCTGAGCACGGCTGTAAACCTTCTAATAAAGTTTAAAAATCCTGACATTTACAGTTTTACTCATGTGACACATACGTACCATCTTGTTTTCAAACAGATCATGGTAAATCCCCAGCACCAGCAGGAAATGTATGACCACATAAACTTGTAAAGGCAGCGTCCAGCTGGGATCATGAGGCACTTCCTGTCCGGTAACCTGCACATGGAAAATAAAACATGTTTAATTCCCCAATCCCTAATTTTCTTGTAAGTGGAGTAATTTTCTGGACAGATTCTCACACTGGACGGCGTGCCTGCACTTTTATAACGAGTCCTTTAATTTTACCTTCATGTTTATAGTAACATTTCAGTTAAGTTTTACAGTGTGTCTGTACACTTCCTTCCTCATTAATAACCAGTGTAAATACATGTGAAATATAATGCGTTGAGAGTTATTATTTCATTGCGGCTTTAAGGACCATTAAAGCATTTATATAGTTACATATTTTGGCTTCTCTGCTCGCACATGAACTAGTTTTCACTTAATCTCACTTGCAGCACGTGGTGTTCTGGTTTTATGACTGACTCAGGTTGGTTGGAGTTATTTCCTGTGCCATTAAGATAAGATAAGATAAGATAATCCTTTATTAGTACCACAACAGGAAAATGTGCAGTGTTACAACAGCAGAGGGTAAAGTACAAAACCAAGAAGCACCAGTAAAAACAAAAAGCAGGATATAATAATTAAATACACATTAAGAAACTAGAAAGTCTGATGAGTTGAACTCACGATTGCACACAGTAAATATTGATATTCCAGTTATGTTTACATTGATGTTACACATGAGTGTCGCCAGAATAAATGTTGGCATCGTATATTTCAGTCAGGAACACTCTCATCGTAGATTCAACTATTTGGTGCAACAAATGGAAATACAGTTTTGTTTGGCGCTGAGGGCTTTGCTCTTGAGGTGTTCCCTGGATTAGAAAAGCAGCATGCTATGCCAAACTAGGGAGCGCGTTGCAGAAAATCCCCCACGTATACAAGAGTGGGTCCAAGCAAGATATTAAATAGCATTTTGACCTTAGAGCCATGTTAGGACTCTGCATTAGAAAGGTGGAGGCTGGGGTGGTGGAGGTAAAGTGTAGCCAGCAGCAGTGGCAGCGGTGTGTGGCGGCATTGATGTAGCAGCAACAGCTCCTTTAAAAACATATGGGGGCTAAAAACAGTTTGACAAAAAAACAAAGTTTGATTGAACTGAACCAAACAGGGCAGGTGAAAAAGCACCCTAAGTCCAATGTGGGACTTTGCCATCAACAATATAAACTTAAGAAACATTAGTCCGGTTTCCATCCAAATGTAGCCCACATTTTAAATCTGCAAAGGAAAATGCACATGTATGTGCTTTTCCATCCACTGCTGTTATGCTAATATTCAGAGTTGTTTCATCGAGATAAGGAGCAGGTGGTACTAATTCTCCACTCAGGTTCCACTGCAGACGAAGAGGGTGAGGAGAGGGATGAAGTAATAAAAAGAGCGCCAGACAAACCTCAAACGAAGGAACACAATGGATGTATAATAACAGAGTGCATACTAGACACTGGAAACAGATAGTTTTAAACAACTAATATTACAGCTCTGTGGAAGAGTTGTGGTAACAGCCCTGAGTGCATAAGCATGTTAAAATCCTCTAGAGCAGTGGTTCCTAACTGGTGGGTCGCGGTCCGAAAGTAGGTCACGGGTCAATTCTGAATGGACTCATGAACGTGTCAAGTTTGTAAAAAACACACTTTGTTTTTCAGTACAGTGAATTTCTGGCACAAAGCTTTCATTTTGAAGTGCCGAGTCATGCTGCAGAGTGAGTGACTAATGAACAGCTACTTGACAGAGACAGCAAACTCGCGTGACAACTTGGCCAAATGCAGGTATGACGTTGAATGTATTAAACTGTGTGGTCCTTGAACCAGTGACTGGGGAGAAATCTGGACCCAGTGGCTGGACCAGTTGGCACCTTCTCGCATTCACCTTTTATTAACACGACAACTTTTCCACGTTCCCAAAACATAAAAACATTTTTGCTAAATTTTGAGATTTTTTTCGAATTGTTGATGTTTTCACTCAAACTGAAAATACGCATAAAAAGAGGTGGATGGAAATGCATCTACTAAAAAGACAATAAAACAGCATGGGGGCAGTAGTTAGAAAAAGGAAGTAAGAGAAATGGCAAAAACAACAGAAAACAAAAGTGAGTCAGTGAGAATGTTTGAGCCTTTAAAAAGAAATATGCCACAATTGAACTCATAAAACTCATGTTCAAACCTCTCTGCTGACCTTTCCCTCTTCTACTTCTGATGTGTTTATTGTCTTCGAAGTTAAATGGCCTTTTTGTCGCTTCGGTCTCCTTCAGGCTGAATTTCAAAACTGGTGAAAATTAGGTTGTTGTGTTCTCTCTACAAAGTCATCCAGTATTTATTGGGTGTAGCGGTTTCCCCCAAACACACAGTAATATGCGAGTCCATTTGTAAGAATTCCCTGAGTCACTTGACCTGTTTTTGTCTGCTTTTGAACGATAAGTAATTAGGCTCTTGTTGAAACTGCATCCTCTCCGGGAACGAAGCACAAAAAAAAAAACTGGCCAATCATGGACGCCTGCCTCTCATTCGGGGAGGTTTCCCAGGATCCCGAGGAACCAAAACACCACATGTGGGTTCCCCCCGCATCCCATCCCCAACCCTGTAGGTATTCCAGCACGCTGCTCTGCTTATTGTCAAAGAGCTGAAACACGTTCAACCCTCTCACTCCCCTCTCTTTCCTTTTCTCTCCTTCACCGGCAGATATCAATGAGCAGCCGTCTACACCAGGCCTTTCAAAATATTTCGGTTCAGTTCCAGCTCCGTCCGTGTTTAGAATCACCCCGCTGGGTTTAAGGGGCCAATTTAATTGTAAAGGCAAAGGGGACTTTTTTTTTTTTTTTTTTTTTTTTTTAAGTGTGAAGCGTAAGGGACTAAATATGCGACACCATCAGCGTTATTTCAAAGCTAACCGCCGGGGCATTCGACTGGAGCCTGTATTTCTTTCTGCACACACACAGACATACACGCACACACACATACGCCCATTCACACTCAACTGCATGCGGTTTTAATCCCGCAGACTGCGTTTAAAGACGGTGAAAATGAACTTATTGTGTTCCCTCTACAAAGGCTCTGCAGCTTTTATTTGATGTGGCAGATCCTTGTAAAACTTGCAGAATATGTGAATCCTTCAATCAGGAATGCTCTGAGTCATCTGGGCCGGGGTTTCGCGTGTGTCAAAATGACGGGTAATGAAGCCTGAGAGCATTATTGTAAAAATATACCTCATGCAGGACGGTGTTAATTAGTTTTAGCCACATTTTAGTTGTTTGTCTCTTTTAGTTGTCGACAACTGAAAATGATTTCGTCCAGTTTTAGTCAACAAAGTAATTTCAATTGGGTCAATTATTTGTCATTACTTTTAGTCAAACTATTTTTTCTCTTTAATTAAATTCGCCTAATACTGGTATTGGATATTAGCATCAAAGTGACAGGTTGTATCAAGTGTTTAAATTTCATTAAGACATATTTTGTTATTAAAACTATAGATCATTTCTACACATTTACAAACTTGCATTTCTCCAACAGTGTTTGACAGTTTAATGAGAAATCATCACTTGAAAAGCTCAAAATCTCAAACATTTAGACCGAAACTAAATAATTTGAAACAACTAGACAACCTATTTGTACCCAAGTTCACTGTTAAGTCTGACTCATGGGCAGACTATGAGATAATGGACCCCTGAGCAATGATATGCAAAAGGCCCCACCACCTCTCCAACACAGGAGCCCAACACACAGACGTGGTCGTTTTGTTTCTTTTGGCTTTTGACTTTATTTGACAGGACAGACATGCAGCAAAGGGCTGCGGGCTAGAATTGAACCCACAGCCGCTGCGGCAAGGACAATGTCTTTGTACATGGGCCGCCCGCTCTAACCACTGAGCTACTCCAGACACTATGGTAGTTCTGCCTCTATTTTTGTTGTTGTTTTGTGTCTCTTTGTAGTCATTATGGAGCTTTTTCTGGTTTTGTGACTGTTTGAGGAAATTTTGTGTCTTATTTGGTCATTTTGTGTGTCTTTGTGGCTGTTTTGCCCACTTTTGTAGTTACTTTCTGTTCCTTTGCATTTCTTGGTGGGCTTTTTGTGTCTTTTTGGAGTGATTTTGAGTCTCTTCCTGGTGGGTAATTTGACTGACATCTTGCAGATGAAGGTCAGGCGGGCCCCTGACACTTTGGGCCCCTCGGCCTGTGCCTTGTAGGCCTGTCCGGTAATCCGTCCATGCTCTGACTTACCAATCGCGCTGTTAAGAAACGGAAAACAACTTAATTTTAGCCTGAAATCTTTCGAAATCTAGTCTAGAGGTTTAAACTTTTGTCATCTCACAGGGTCGGTGATTAAAAGTGGATTTTGTCCAGTGGCTAGGGGCTGCTTGCTCTGCTGCCGTTCACCTGCATACAAGTGGAGCTAGCTGCAAACAGGTGTAACCAACAAACTCCACATATCCATTCAACAGCTCCACCGTCCACTGTTAGACACACAAGGCTGCTTATTTACTGCCGAGTTAGAGCTCACAACTCCTGTTAACGGATGAAGCTGCTCCGATGTGAGTGTTTTTCAAGCTAGCTAAACATCCTGCACATCTATTTAGTGGTACAGCACACATACAGCTTTAGAAAAAAAAAGAAAGCATGTCTTGGCTGTCTGATTAAAAACATTTTTCTAATACATTACATAAAAACATTTATCATTCTGTTTCCCTCCCCTCTTATTTTGAATGTCCAATAAGTCACCATCTTGTCTCAGCGAAAACAATACATACATTTTGTTGTAGTTTTTATTATCAAAGATCTATTTTAAGCTTGTCAATGTCTTGACAAATCTTTTTCATCATTGTTTTCGTTGACAAAATTAACACTCCTGCAGGAATGATAAAAACAAGGGATTTTTTCTTTTTTTTAACTAACCTTTGGATTGTCTTCATGGTCACCGAGCCGAGATTTACCAGGTTTCCAACTCGGGCCTTTGAGGAAAGTTGATAATTTGCTGCCAATAGTCTTGTAAGTGCTGGACCTTCTCCAAAAATACAAATAGTAGTGTAACTGAAAGAAAAGAAACCCATAAATCAAACATCAACATATAATCAAACCCCATATTTTACTGATCAATGTTAATGAAGCAGTGGCTGCGATAACTGATCCTGAGTGGAAATGTTTCTGCTTTCATTGGGCAGGACGTTTGCTCACGCTGTGCTCTGCCAACAGCGAGGGCAGCAAAAATAATCACAACATCCACCTCCTGGCATTTCACTTTACTGGCCTCCTTCACCTCAGCTGGGCAGTTTGTTTATAGTGGAGTAATAATGTTATGGTTACAGAATGGCCACTCCGCCAGCAAAAGGAAACATGAGCTCACGCCTCATCTACTAAAAAGGTGTTTATACTCAGAAGGATGGAGGTGAGACTTAAGGTGGTCACACCATCGATGGAAGATTGGACCAACCTGAACATAGAGGATTTCAAAGGTGTTGATCGGGAACACCAGGCCGAACACCACTTTGTCTGACTCTGGAGCAAAAGTACCTGAGGAGGACATGTACAGGTTTTAATAACGAAACAAAAATAATATGAATGAATACCTTAAACTTGTCTTTTGGACACTTGGGGTCAGCAATACAGGCTTTAAACACAACCTAAATACACCCTCATGCTGAGGTTTCCCAAACAACTATTTTACAGCTGCATTTCAAAAGTTCAAGTTTTGAAATGCAGCAACATGCACCACGTCATGTGATGGGGAACAGCCAATCACAGCCAGCAGATATGTTTTCCTTTCTCCTGTAAATATCAGTCTGTGGTAAATATGGAGGGGAAGTTGATTATTTATCAACTTTATCCAGAGCTTTGTATCTGTCCTAAGACAATATTTTAGGCCTAATACACAAACAACAAATGCCTGGAAGAAGATCTGCTCCAAAAATAAGAATATCTGATGAGTAAGCTATGATGCGGTGTTGGTTGTAGTCGCTTAGCAACCTCTGGCGCAACCTGCCTCTGGGCCCTTGACAGTTGGCACAATGTAGGCAGAAGAGAAGCACCTGGCACCCGACCTTGCATTTTCTAGCCAGTGGAAGACGTGGCATGTGTCCAACAGACACTCAGAAACCTAAAGTTGTGTTTGGTTCCACCTGTTCACTCTCTTTTCTAAATATGTCACGATATTAGAATTTTAAACCCCACTACAATACTAGTATGAAACTAGATTTACCGCCTCGTGGCTGTATCCCTCTGCGCAGCCGCCAAGTTGCAGTTACAGTTTATATCCATGCTTGACATGGATGCTTCATAAACATCCCCCCCGTCAGCACAGAACATCTATACAATCAAGACAGTTTCAAGGTGGACACCCAAGGTTAGTGTCACCATTTCAGTATCTGACCAAATGTCCTCTCTTCTGTTCCTGAGTTATGATGTTGAATAATGGCCAGAAACGTTTTTGCAGATCATTATGATGTAACACTGCGGTTGACCTTTGACCTTTTGGATATAAAATGTCATCACTTCATCATTTTATCCTGTTTGACATTTGTTTGAAAATGTGTCACATTTAGCAAATGAATTCTTGAGTTATGACCAAAAACAGTGAGGTTACAGTGATCTTCACCTTTGACCATCGACCACCAATTCAAGTCAGTTCACTCATGAGTCCAGGTGGACACTTGCGACAAATTTGAAGAAATTCTCTCAAGGTGTTTTTGAGATATCTCTTTGTGCTTTGTTGTATTTTAGGTAGCCTTGTGTAACATCTTGGCCAAGGAACTAATAGACTTTTGGCTAATTCTGGCATTTCTATACGATATGTATTTATTAATATGCACTGTCCCCTCTTAACTGAACATAACTACACTAAACCAAGCTAAGCTAAACTAAACTAAACTAAAATGGATGCAAGGTCACAGTGACCAGTTCACCAGTTTATCAGTTCATTGCTGACTCAAAATGGATGTTTGTGCAAAATTTGAAGTGCTTCAAGGCGTTCTTGTGGTATCATGTTCACAAGAATAGGACATGGATGGATATACAGTTGTATGAACGGGCAGACAACCCGAAAACTTGATGCCTCCGACCATGGCTATCGCCAGCATGGAGGCATAGAAACACTTGATACCTCTTTCAATACCACAGCTAAAAGGGAAAAAGTCTTAGGCACACAAAATAGAATATGTTTTTTCTTTTTGCTTTATATTAACAGACTGTACACAGTGCTGGTCCAGAAAAAGTCTTTGAACACATACCAACACCTTTTTAGTCATTATAATAGAAATTACAACTTGGGTTGAAAATCTGATATCTGTTTTTACATTTATAGCTTTGGCATTTTTAGTACTATCTAATGCATAAATAACGAACACTGCAGCATTTTAAAGATGGTATCAAAAAAGTATCCAAGTTGTGATACTTTACGACAATGTTACTTGTTTTAGCTCTGTTTTGGTCTCCACCAGCTCCTGAGGGAAACATCTGGCTCTTAAGCTGATCAAGACATACACATATCCCCAACTTATAATGAGATGAATGCTCCAAAGTAAATACTCTAAGGAGTAAAATATAAAACCTGCTACAGAAGAACATTAATAAAGTTGAGATCACAGCTTCTAGGATCAACCTCTTAAAACTGTCTGCAGCCACAGAGGGAGAGAGAAAAAAACAGCCCAAGGGATTTCTGGGTAATGCAAACCTCAAAATTTAATCAGTTGCCTCTCACTGACGTTTGGTGCAAAATTGCTGAGTCGGGTGAAAAGGCTACAGGCAAACCTGCAGTTTACAGAGTCACTGTTTCCCTTCATGTTGTTGTTATAATGGGTCATACCGCAACTTTGGTTTCCATATCAAGTAATGAGAGGGCCGACATCACAGACACCAGGACAGATTAAAACACCAAAAACATTATAACATCTTTCAGTGCTTTGATGATACACAGATTGTTATAAATATGATGTCAGGCGTATAAAATTTAGAAGCTGTTTGACATCACAGGCTGCTAATGTCTGTTTGAGTTATTCATGTTACGCACTGAAAAATTTAAGTGCAAAATTTATAATAAAGGTGATTCAAAACATCATAATAACCTGGAATTAGTATTAAACCTAGAATAAAAGCAGTCGCAGTTTACATCCACGTCTGTGAAAACATGGATGCTTCACACACATCTTCAACTCGGCAGCACAGAAGATCTAAACAATCAGCACAGTTTCAAAGTGGACACCCAAGATTAGTGTCACCAGTTCAGTATCTGACCAAATGTCTCCCCTTCTGTTCCTGAGATATGATGTTGAATAATAGCAAGAAGAAGAAAATTATGATGTCACAGTGAAGTTGACCTTTGACCTTTTGGATATAAAATGCCATCACTTCATCATTTTATTCTATTAGACATTTGTTTGATATTTGTCATAATTAGCAAATGGATTCTTGAGTTGTGGCCAAAAACAGTGAGGTCAAATGATCTTGACCTTTAGCCTTTGACCACCAAATTAAAATAAGATAATTCCTGAGCCCACTTGGACATTTGTATCAAATTTGAAGAAATTCTCTCAAGGCCTTTTTTGAGCTATTGAGAATGAGATGGATACAAGGTCACAGTGACCTTGACCAAACAAATGATCTTAAAAAAATAAAGAAATTCTGTCATAACTGGCAAAATACTTCTTGAGTTGTGGCCAAAAACATGTTTTGTGAGGTCACAGTGACCTTGAGCTTTGACCACCAAAATCTAATCAGTTCATTTTTGAGTCCAAGAGGAAGTATGTGCCTAATTTGAGGGTGGTCTTTTGATATTGCATTCATGAGAGTGAGACAGATGAGGTCACAGTGACTTTGACCTTTGACCTAAAACCACCAAAATGGAATCAGTTCATGGCTGGGTTCAAGTGACCGTTTGTGCCAAATTTGACAAAAGTTATCTCAAGGCATTCTTGAGATATCATGTTCACAAGGTCACATTTTTGTAAGACCTGAAAATACAATGCCTCCTGCTGCAGTTATTGCTCGTGTGAATGCATAAAAATAAAAGTAAATATGACTCATAACTTTGGCACCATAAATCATAGTACATATCAGCACTGTCTCCTTTTACTTTTGAAAATGTTGAGTACTTCCACTCTGACACATTCCTCCTAAACACAACAGATTTTTTCTTTGACAGCAGGTGGTGAAAATACTGTCATTTAGTTGTAAATGGTAATTTATCAGTTAAACGAAAAAGAGAAAGGGTCTGTATTTTGTGAAGAATAAAGAAGAATATGCAGACTACACTCTGTAGCAAAAGCCTGCAAGTATTGTAGTACTGGCACTTTTGGCATTGATCTGGCCAATACTAACTGACAGATGTACAGAATATTGTCACATGCTAAAACTCACACTGACAGCTGTAGTTAGCAGTAACTGAATGTAGGCACTAAAATGATAATCGGGAATAAAAGTGAATATCTGCTAAGTTGTTCCTACCAAATAATCGGTCCCATATGATCAGAATTCCTCCGTAATTCGTGTCGATGCAGTAAAGGTTCCTCCCTGTTGAGAAAATATTATGGCAGAAGAAAATAGAAATTATTCTCTCTTTTAAAAAAAAGAGGGGAAAAACATCTCAGATCTCAAATGCCCTTCTCATTCAATTATCTCAGTTTTTCCCACACTTGTAATCCGACCATAAACACAACCATAATCCGACATGACCAGTTATCAACACTTCATTTTACACGTTGACGTACCATCCAACTCACGGCAAAAACAATAACTGAAAAACTTCATAAAAGTAAGTGAAGACTTTCCTTCATAAATAAAGCTTATCTTACCGTGATGAACTCTGTGATGTTTCGGGGTGTTGAAGACCCACTCTAGAGGTCCAAGGTCTCTGATCAGCTGAAATAAAATAATAAAATACAATACCTTGAAATTAAACACTTTATACAATGTGCTCAGCAAATTCAACACAAGCTGACTTTTAGATTATAAGATTATACTGTGTGACAAACTGTTAATTTTGACCAGATAGAGGTGACAAGATGAAGGACATGCTCAAATTTAAGATGAAAAAAGTTCATCCTCTGGGGAGAGTAAATGAGTTACAAAATTGCATGGCATCCTGCCTATTTATTTACTACTTATATATTTATTGTTTACATGGAGATTATTTTTGGGATGCCAAAGCTTTACTTGGACAAAAATGTTGGACCTTCCGTTTTAGCAGTAACGAAGCAATGTAATGCGTTACCAACAAGAATTCGGGTAATATTATTACATTTATAATGTTACTTAATGCCTTGCCGCCTAAAATAAACTATTTACTGATTTCATTTTCCATTCATCCACACTGATCCACACCACTCCGCTTCTACCAGTGCGCCAACAGAGAAAATATCCCCTGAAGGTTGTTGTGTGTTGTCATGTCATTATACGCTACATTATAGAAGGGTGCCAGTGATAAGCACATCTGGGACTGTGCGTTAACATGCTCAGTGTGTTTCCATTAGTATACCTGCAACGTCTACAACACATCCCGTTCTGCTTTTGCGACTGAAGGCTGCCTGAAAGCAGCGGAGATAAGGAGTTGGCCTCTGGTGTCCTAGTGACCGGCACATCTGGCTGATGTTAGTATATGTTGGATGTGTTTCCATTCACATCCCCTTCAGCTGCAGAGCAACACCGGCACACAGTCCTGCTCTAATGCACAACTCTCTCTCTGGTGCTGCTGTAGCTGACTGGCACACCGGGACACAGCAAGTGGGTCTTCCAGCACCGGTGTTTTAATTTTCACTCGTCCGGGTGACTAACTCGCACGCCATTCCGTTTGTTGTGCTAACCTTAATATTTGTTTATTGAGTTTCATATCATAGTCTCACAAATATTGATCCATATTTCATAATGATCAGACTTTGATCCTCTGCCTGACCCTCCCTGTGTCCAAGGATGTTAATTTATTATAAACGATCTCAGCTATTTAATTGTTCTAAATCATCACACTATTATTAATATTAGCAGGAGATTTTATTACAAAGTGTATGTGAACACATGAATGGGTCAGACCTACAGCACTGGATTTAAAATGAACTGTAATAAACTGCTGTGAAACAACATGACCCTCATCTGTTTGAAATCAACATTAGGTCTTCTGAGGTAATTTTGGTGAAAGTTATGCAGAAGTAGTGTAATAAGTAAGTTATTACTCGACACAGAGTAATATTGTAACTTTTTTTTTTTTTTTTTTTTTTAGCTTTTTGTGCCTTTACTGATAGAGCAGTATAGCGTGAAGGGAAGAGAGAGGGAGGGGATGACACGCAGCAAAGGAGTGAAGGCTGGAGGTGAACTCGCGGTGGCTGGAGCAAGGACTGAGCCTTTGTATATGGGGCGCTTGCCCTATCCACTAAGCTACTGACACCCCAATATGTGACAACTTCCCAAACACTGCTGACTGGACATGAAACCAAAAGATTATCATGAAAAACTGTTGGCAGGATGCATTCTGGGTACTTTAGTTCATTGGTGACAAAATAAGAGCCATTGATGTCACTTTCATACAATGTTAAATATTCATATTCTTGTTTGGTTTCTGGATCATAGTCGTATTTATGGGCTAGTAGGTACAGTAGCTAAAAGAGCACACACACTGGGCCAAAATCTTTTCCATTATGAGAAACATGCTGCAGCTTCAGAAACGCTGAATTTTCAAAATCACATGAAAATCCAAGACAAATACAACAAGGAAGACGTGTGGGAAATTAAAAAAAATGTGCCACAGAAAGCCAAAACAATTACTTTAACAGCTGCAACAAACACACTCTGGTCTGGTCTCTCTTTTTCAGGCTGAAAATCAAGCTGCTCCACTCAGAGCTCCCCCTACAGGCCTGGAGAATTTCCATTTTGTCGACACCTCATTTTTCTGTTGCATTTGTTTTTGGGTTTTGTGTGTTTCTGACTTTGAATTGTTTCTGTATTTGCAGTGTGTTTGCTGTGTGTGTATTTGTTTTGGCATTCTGCAGCATGTTTCCATTGTTGTATGTATTCTGGATTTTTGTTTGTGTTTTTGAATTTGTTTCTGAAACTGCAGCACATGTCAACTCAGGGAAATGTTTCAGGCTGTAGTGCATTTGCATGTGTCGGTCAGGGTAGGAAGGATGAGGAAAAAGACGCTGACAGTGCTGATAGTGTTAAACCCATTAACACACACATGATGAACACATGCACATCCAGTCTGATAGACAGAATAATGCAGTCGAATGCATCGCCAGTGCATTTTGTGCATAAAACAATGAAGCGTGAATCATTTTCTCTTCTTAGATATCAAACAGATGCACCAGTGAGTCATTATAGATTACAGAGGTCACACAGCGCATTTCACACAGTTCATGTTTCTGTTTTGGCTGTAACTCTCAGATATTTTGATGTTTTGCATCAATACGACAGACCCCTCAGTCTGGAGAAATGTTCACGGCTGAGCAGAATTTCTCAGTGATTCATTATTTCCATGTAATGGCTGCGTCTGGCAGCTGAGCGTGAGAGTTTTATCTTGAATGAAAAGGGTCTCCACCACTTCACTCCGGCTCTGGGGCTGGACGCCGCAGCCAATAGCGTGCCAATAAATTACATCAAAAAAAAAGCCCATAAAGGAGGCATAAATTACATCCCTTCAGAAAATTGTGACTATTACGACTGTTTTCACTAATAGTGCACTAAAAGATGGAAGGCGTTCCAAATCCATTCATTCCCTCTCAAGATTGTGGGGATTGTAAAAGTGATACTCCCAGTCACTTTAAAGGCAGAGAGAGCGGTCATGCTTCTGTTTGGAATATTTCATAAAATCTCATTATTTTTTATTGAATACAGGTTTCACTGCAACACTGAGTCTACAAAGGCTCGACTTAGCAGACGGATTAGTGTTGGCACAGGGAGAAAGATAACTTTACAGACTTTTCTCCAGTTAGATTACCTTTTTAACTGTGCACAGCAACAACCAATGGAAGAGTAATGCACACATAACTACATGTGCAACATGCTGACTGATCATACTACAATTTTTTTTTTTTGTGATTGTAATATTCTGTGCATGGCACATAGTGTGCATGTTCTCCTGCATAAAACTGCCAGGTTAAATTAAAATTTTCATTCAATTGTGCTATTGATTGTTGTTTTGATAAGTGTTGAAAAAGTTTCCTCTGAAGTGGGGAAAACAACCCAATCCCTAGAAAAAATCTTACAAAATGTTTCTGCTATTTTAGGGAAACTCAAAATGTGTGGTCAGGTTAAGGCACAAAAGCTACCTGCTTATGGTTAAGAAAAGATCATGACATTATACCCAGTTTTGGGGGCACTGTCACCATGGCAATGTCTTGGTAAAAAACAGCAACAGATTGCTACAGTATAATACTCCAATATTTGGTGTCTAAAAATCAGTTGCTAAACACAAAGATTGTTTCAATCATTATTATAAACTTTACCCCACACTGCATTTGCAGGTAAAAAGTCAGTGTTTCACTCAAAGACATAAAAAGATGGTTGTCTGGTGATGCATAATGGTAGTTGTTGTCTTACTTCATCAGTCCAGTGGTCCAAGAATCTTTTAATGAAATGTAAAACACCCAGTACATTTACATGACATTAGAGAAAATCAATATATTGTGTTAGTACGACTAAAACATCCGACTGAAATTGTACTAAATCGAATTTCTCAAAGTCGGACTAGATAATATGATCTGGAGTCGAATTACTCCTGCATGTGACCTAAATTATGTGTATATATTTACCTCAGTGTGGATCCAGAACTGGTAGAGAAGGTTTAACTGAATGTGAACAGCAAAGACTGTGGGTGGTGCGACCAGAGCCAACGGCAGGTAGAAGATCTGAGGAGGAGAACAATTAATGCAGTAAACATCTGACAAAGTCTCATTTAACAACATAATACGTAACGTAACATAAGAACACATAAAGCATTTTTAACCAGCAACCAAAACAATGTATTAGTCCATCTCTCAATACTCTCTGACTTTCTTACCCTGTCTATACTCAGCACTATTTAACCCAGCACAATACTGTGACTCACTGATGGGATCTTAATAGTTTCTGGACAACAAAGGAGCTTTAACGCCGTGTTCAGACTGCACAACATGTTTGTTATGATGGTCGCTGTGTCAGATGAGGCTGTTATAGAGTCGTAAATTTTTGCTGTGACTCAGCCGAAAGACATGACGGACTACACGTTGGTCCCCAACTAGCAGCAACCCCTGGGGCTGAAAAACGAAGCCAACGTAAAGTGCCAATAAAACGCTGTTCCTCTAATGGCCATCTGAGGCTGGCTCCAAGAGTGATACAATCCCCACAGACCTCCACGTTAAAATGCCCAACTTTACAGCAGTTGACAGTTTACAGCAGTGACTCTGCCCTCTAGTGCCATTTACGGGCTGTATCTGTGCCAACATTACAGACACATGAAAGTACGGGGGCACATGGGGTTTACATTTGAAACGGACTATCTATTTTTGTATGTAAACGGAGAATAAATGAGCCCTAAGACTTCTGGTCCAGCCTCTACTGTATGAGAACAGCATATGAAACGCTGAATTTTAGTCCTCCTGAACAGATATACACACTGTGGGAAATGGCGAAATTAGTTTTAGGACCTTTCCTATTTAATGGTAGGTTGTTCCCTTCGACAATGTACAAACTTGATGTCAGAAATAAAAGTCTACCGCTCCTCTAAAGAAACGAACTAGCGCAAAGAGTGGATTGCAGTGGTCAAAAGAAAGGATTGGACACCCTCAGTGACCTGCAGGGTCTAAAGTGCTCATTTCATTAACGGTAAGTTTTGCAATTTTTTTGGAGATTGAATATGGCAAAACAGACACCTCTCTGTAGACCGCTGGCTAGCGAGCCTGAGCTTGAACAATCTTACTTACCAGTTATGAAATTAGCACTACAGACCCTGGAGTTTCTCAGTGGTCTCCAATTCCATCTTTCGACCACTGCTATCCACGTCTTATGCTGGTTTGTTTCTTTAGGGAAGCGGTAGACTGTTTTTCCTGACATTAAGTCTGTACTTTGTTGGAGGGAACAACCTACCACTGAGCAGCAAGGTCCTAAAACTAATTTCACCATTTCCCACAGTGTGAGTTTCAGTTGAGGAGGACTGAAGTTTAGCGTTTCATGTGCTGTTTTAGTGCAGTAGTGGCTGGACCACAAGTCTTAGTGGAACATCGATGTTGTTTCCAAGCAACTGAAAGATAAAATGGTCTGTAAAGGGGATTGAAAATAAAAATAATTAATAGATTTATCCTTTAAGAGAATGAATAATATCTTACCCATGATGTGAACTGCTGTGTGAGGGACTGTCTGAGGGCCGTGGTGAGGTTGTAGTACTCTGAACTGTGGTGAACTTGGTGAGCGGCCCAAAGGAAGGACACCTCTGGAGAAAATGACACACACAAACACACAGATCCAGTGTAAAACAGGAGGCCATAAGTCCAAATGTTATGTGAGTTTATCACTTCATTCACCTGCTCATTAATGTGTTACAGAGCTCAGAGATTCATATACTGTACAGGCCTTGAACCCTCACACACATCAGCTGCCTTTACATCACCGCAAGTGATTTATCTCAAAAATCAACCTTCCCAGATGAGTAACTGGACACTTTCATCCCCTGAAGGAGTCATTTCGGTCCCGCTCCCGGCCAGCCGTGATGAAAAGCTGAGGCTTGAGCGTAGCTGGCCATTAGAGGGGGGGATTCAGGCTATTATGACGGCGGGGGTATTCTGCTGCAGCTGGTTAGCGTCCAGCCTGATGTCCCAGTGCTCCAGTTTACATTCCTCTGCTGTGTTGTGATACTTGCTACATTAATATCTGTGTTACACTTCATTTTAACATCCAAAGGGAACATGCTTGTTAAGTTTCACTGGATCTGCGGGCCGTTTCCGGACCACCCCGGTCTGGTCTGTGCTTTTTGGCACCTCCCGTCCACTCTGGCCTCTGCAGCCGTACAAGAGAGAACAGTAACCTTCAAATATTGCAGAACCACAAAGCCCTATATAGACCATGTATAGTGATGTATGTGTTATAATAAAAGAAGCCTCAAGTTATTAAATGTGGTTTAAGTTTTATGAAGCAGCTTTGATGTGTGATGGGATTTGTGATTAAGGGATCAATTATGAAGCAATTAGACTTCTATTATTACACGTGGCATGACTGTGTGTGTCCCCACACTTAAAGTACACACAATCTTATATTTAGCTTGATGACGATGCATTTTTTAGTTTAATTTAAGACGTAAGTGTCTTTTATTAAAAGGAATAGTCTGACATTTTGAAAAATTCATTTGCTGGCAAAGAGATAAATCAACGGTTCTGATTTTTTGGTTATATGGGGTACTTGTGCATAGTCGGTATATTACATACATTAGATATCAGTCGGCATGCCCCCAGTTTGAAGAAGCAGACAGGAGTCTAACACGGAAGCTATGTAATGTTCTGCTGTGGATGGGAGCAACAACAAAACATATTTTAACACCTAAAAACAGTCCAACCTAAAAAGAAATCAATAACAGTTTAAGTGTATGCTATATTGAGAGTATTTAACACTTTACCTTTGCATCAGACTGTCTGTTTTGAAGGGAGGCTGTTAACGGCTTTAGTTCCCCATCTACACTCTCATCAAAGCCACCAGACTCCATTGACAAAAACAGTCATTTTAGCTCGTTGAATACAGGAGCTACAAGTCTACTGTTGCCTTGATCAGTTAGTTAGTTCATGTTATTATGTGACTTTGGTGAATCTGAACTAACCCTTTTAAAAGCCACACAAGTCAAATGGTAACACAAACTATCTGATGGAGGCAGCTGTGGATTTGTACCTCCTGTGTTCAGCAATGTTAAATCACTGTTTTTCTAAATGGAGTCTGGCTTTGAAGAGAGCGACATCATTTTATGGCTTCATTTTCCCTTTAGAAATCACTGTCTGACAGCAAAGCAAGGCAGTGAAAATACTTGAAATAAAGTACACTTTTTTTTTTTTTTTTAAGTACAATTTTTTTAGGTGGCTAAATTAAGTTTTGTTGCTGACCCCTGTGTTAGACTCCAGCCTGCTTCCCCAAACTAGGGGCGCGTCGAATACGCTGACAATAGTTAAGTACCTCATAGAACCCAAATTCTACGACTTTGACTTTGACGTCAGCATGGTAAATATGACAGCCATCAACCGGTTAGCTGAGCTTTGCAAAAACACTGAAAACAAGGGTAAAAAGCTAGCCTGGCTCTGTTAACAAAGGTTACAAAATCATGTTATCTCTTGTTAGTTTATTAAAAACCCAGGAGTGAACAATTTGCTGTTTGAATGAGGGGTTGTGTTCCGCACTTGTCTTGGCCTGGTTCACTAACTTCCTGGAGTTTCCGCTGATGGCCTCACAACTGCTCCCCGCCAAAAACAAGTCCAGCCAATAACAACGTGTAAAATGGCAAAAACTGTTGTTTTTACACTTTTCAGATAAAAGAAACAAGATATATTAGTGATACAGATTTGCGTCAGATACGGTTGCACAATGCTCCCTTTAGGGTCTGTATGAGATGCACTGGGTTTTCAGCTAACTCCAATTTTAACCCATCTGTGTCATTATTAGAAGGTCAGAACAATGGACCAAGTATAAAGAGCAAGAAAGTCTGCTTAGAGAGAGTGGATGCATGGGTCCAACAAGTACTGTACATTGACCCAGGATTCTGATGTTTGCGTACAGTTTGAAACTAAAAGTCAGTGATGAGTTACTTTGTCACATCAGTCGTTAGTGAGTCGACTCACCTGACTAACAAAGCAACAATTATTTCCTAGCCCTAGCCAAGTAGTTTTGTTGCCTAAGCCTAACTGCTGACCCCGTCTGTGTTAAGATACAATGCATAAGGCTGCCCATGCGTGACATGAGGAGTAGGAATGAGATTACATTGGAAACTGAAGTTGGGCTGTCTTAACATAGTAACAGTGTCCAAGCACACACTCATCTAGCTATGCACACACACACATAGTCACACACACACTAACAGCTTTGCCCACTGTGAGACTACTCTTTTCTATTTTGAGAAAATCATTCAAAAGCCACATCTCCACCTCCTCCTCTCTCGCTGTTTAATAAACTTGTGAATGGTATCGAGGCAGGCAGTCAAAAACCCCAACAGGCCAGTGGTCCGCTGCACCTGAACAAACACACTGCTGAGAACTGAAGGTGTCAGTGTGAGCAGAGGAGCACCAAAATCTGTCCCGACACGTTTCTAATCAGTGAAACTGAGGTGGATTTCCTCAAGCGTATGGGGAAACCCTGAGGAGCTCCGAGAGAAAACTACCGCTCCCGAGGAATACTCCACACCTCGCTCATTTAACAGGGTTATTGCTGAATTTCAGCAGGTGTGAGAGAATAAATGTATTTTGGGTCGAAATGGAGGCAACAGGGTTGGACTTTCTTTCAAACTTTATTTGCCCTCTCAACACAACTGACAGAAAGTCTGCAGACGAGGCATGAGAGGAGAGGGCTAAAAAGCACAGAAGACTGACTGCATCCACAGCAGTCCAGCACTAAAGTTATGACGTTTCTTCCGCTCTGAACCATGGGGGATTCAGAGATGGACTGTCCTGCTAAGAGACATATTGAGAGGATAATCCAGCCTTTGTTTAATTCCAGCAGCCTGAGTCTTTTGCTTTTTTTCTTCTCACTGGAATCATGCTTGGCAGGGTCCAGGACTAAGGGCGGCTAAGATTGATGCTTCTTGTCATTGATAGGAAGTAGGAACTGCTAGGCTTCACTGCAAGCCCATGTCCTCATCTCTGGACTCGGCGGGACACTGCATAGTTTGGCAAGGCCTATTCAGGAGGGAAGCCCTGTTAATGGTGAGAACCAATGCCACAGAGCCCATGTTCCCAGCAAGAGCAGAGAAACGCTGAGGACAGCACTTCCATCTGGCCTCCAGCGAGCCTCCACTCACGCTTTCTGAGGAATAACAGGCATGAGTGCACGTTAACCAGGTGACGGACAGTTATGACACTTTATATGAGACTCTTCTCACAGTAAAAATGACAGCATTAGTCGTTATTCAAATTCCTAAAATATCATGTTTATATTTACAGAATAAGGACCTCTAGTGGCTGTGTGAATCATGAAGGTCATCTCTCTGGAACAACGCGAGGCACAAATCTGTTTTAGCAGAAGGAGGTCGAAGCATTCAGCTCTGGCACAAGAGATTACTGCTCACATCCAATTTCCTCCCAACAGTCAATGGTTTTTGCGTAAGCTTAACCAAATCTTATCCATAGTGCTGCAGATCAGAAAACAGACATGTAAATCATTTTTGTAAAGCTCAATTCTAACAGCACTCACAAGCAAATCTGGATGAACTGTACAACCAGTTTCTTCTTTTGTGTTGGAGGAACTGTTGCTTATTTCATGGACACAGAAAATACTGGCTGTCGTGTGTTTATTAAAGTCAAAGGGAGTTCCTTTTTATATCAGCAAGCATGGAATATCTACCCACAGGTATTCATGGCAACAGTACTTGCTATAGTTGCTACTAGCTAACAGTTAAGCAATCTCTAGTTGGTTAAACAGACCTCACCATGGATTATAAACGTCTTCTCACTTAAATCTAGTGGTTTAATTAGCCATACAGATAGTTTTAATTTTATTCGTCAAGGTTTTGATGATACTGTGTTGACTTTAGTCGACTTTTTGTAGGAGTAGGAGGCGTATTTTGTTTTGCCTGAACTGATTAGTCGCTAGTGACCTGTCTGTCCTGCCGGGGTCTTTTTCAATAAAAATGGAAGCTGCCGAGTGGACGTAGGATTAGTAAAAAAAAAAAAAAAAAAATTACAATTATAAAAACAATATGACAATGTAAGATAAGACAAGACGAGAAGAGACGAGACAAGATGAGCCAAGATAAGACAAAACTTAATTTATTTTGAAGTAAATTGTTGTGCAGTAGGTGAAGAACAAAGTACGAAAGAGTGCAATTACAAAATATCAATAAAGGTGCAAGAATGAAAATATTTATAAACATATACCTAAAATCCCACAAAAAATACAAAAAAGAGAGTTGTTCTATCTGTAATACTTGGTTCACACTAAATGACTTTAGCCCTGACTTTCCACTTGCAGACAGTTTTTAGAGTTCTCAGACAAAAACAACATTAGAGGCAAATTGCTGTTGGCTCTGCGCTTGCAGATCAGTGCTACCTGGACCTTTACGGAACTTTGTTGGTGAGCTACAGCGAAAGAACCCGGAAGACATTGGTTGAAAACATAGATAAGGACTGAGCACTGCAGCTTTTTCAAGGTGTGTGAGTGTGCATTCGAAAGATACAGAGAGAAAGTGACATGGTGGGGAAGAGAGGGTGGAAGGTGGACTATTGCATGCAATGTTTATGTAAGTTATTA